CGGTACTGAGTTTAAGAGATGGCAGCAGAAGATGCTGTTTTATCTTACAACTCTAAATTTGGCCCGGTTTCTCTGTGAAGAGGTTCCAGTACTTAGAGAGGATGAAAGTGATCGGCAAGTTGTTGCCGCTGTAGACGCCTGGAAACATTCTGATTTTCTGTCCAGAAACTACATTCTCAATGGCCTTGACAACATGTTGTATAATGTTTACAGCCCTTTGAAAATAGCAAAAGAATTGTGGAATTTTTTAAAGAAAAAATACATTAATTATTTTTTACATTTAAATAAACTATATTTGAGAATTATATTTTTTTTATCGTATATTTAATTTTTTTATTATCAAATTCCTTTTATATAATTGATATTTTAATTTAATATTATGATATTTGAAAATAAAAATAAAAATAAATAATTATAATCACTTTTAGTTTTATAGTATTAATTCTTTTTCTAATTTAATTATTATTTTTAATATTAAAATAAGTGTTTAAATTATTATCTTATAATTTAACATATATCATATAAAATTAGTATATGATAATTACACTTTTATATAGCACTATAGAACTAAAATTATCAAAATAAATAAATAATTTAACTAAATTTATTATATTTAAATATGCAAGTAACACTTTTATACAGTGAGAGAGTTAAAATTATTAAAATAAATATTTTAAATTAAAATTAATATTTTAAAAAAAATTTAGCCGTGCAATGCACAAATCATCATCTAATTATTATTTTTTTTATGATAAATCTTGCATATAATTTTAGGACACCTGTTGCAACTGCCACGTGGAGTGCAATCTCCTTTGTTTGGGTGATCTTGGCTGCGAGTGCATCTCGATCTCCACCAATGATTCGTTTGGCTTTTTCCCAGTCTCCTGCTAGAGCAGCCTTGTGCAGTGGTTCGTACTTCCAATACTGGTCACCGTCTGTAAATCAACAGAATCGCCTCAAATTCAATTCGATAACAACTCGTTCAAACTAAGGATCAAGTTTGGCCACTCTTAAAAAGTTTTAAAAAATAAAAAATTATTTAAAAAGTTAAAAAATTAATATTATTCACTAAAAAAATATGAGTAAAAAAATAATATACACATATTAATACAAATCAAAAAATAAACTCATGGATTGGTACTGACGAGATGGTGAAGTCGGTGACCGGGGGAAAAAAAATTATAATAAAATATTCACTAAATTAGATGGTAGAGTTGGGCCCGTAGAGGCCCACTATAGGTCCCATTTTGATAATCTGAATCGTTAAATAAGTAGAACTCGTCTAGTACTATATTTTTATAAAAAATCACGTCTATCAGATATCGCTAAATACATGATCAAATCAGTTTTGTGTAAAAATGAATAGTGTTATAGTTAACAGTTAAAAAAAAAAAAAAAAAACTGACACGATCAGATAGCTATCAATATCCAATTAACGTGATTTTTTACAAGCATATAATACTCGACGAGTTCTACACAATAAACGGTTCCGATTAGTAAAATGGGACCCGTGGTGGCCCCCATGGGCCGAACAGAACCACCTAATTTATGCCTGAAAAGTAGAGAATCAATCTCCTACACTGCCCTTTGCCGCACTGCCCTTTAGGCTTCTAACCGTATGCCATATTCCATCACTTTATTCCCTTATACACTTATTTATACAATTTTTTAATATGCATTTTTTTATAAAAAGTCAAAAAGTTAACCCAAACATCCATATTTTTTTCTCAACTTTTTAGTTTAAAAAGACAAAAAGTACACTTATTTAAGATACTCCAAACAACCCCTAGTCATGTTTGTTATCCTGATCCATAGGTGGGAGTGGCTTAGGATTGAAGTGGACCGACATATACCTTGTTTGTTTGGTTTATTGGCTTTAGGATTATCACTCTAAGGGCATGTTTGATTGGATGGATTACAGGATGGGATTGAGATTATTAATATCTCATTATTAATCTTGTGAAATCAAACATAGCCTAAGGGTGTGTTTGTTTGAATGGACTGAATAAGGGGGGATTGTAATCCATCAGACTATTAGTCCCGAGATATATTGTTCCTGAACTATTTGATTAGACTGGATTTGTATTCTATATTTGTTTAGTCATGGGATTATATGTCTAGATTGAACTATTTTTACTGAATTCAATATTTGGTTAGACGAACTAGATAAGGATAAATGTTCAAAAGACTATTTTACCCTTGTAATTTATAATTTTTATTTAATATATAATTTTAAATATGTAATCTATAATTTATAATTTATAATTTAACAACACTAAAAAAATTTAATTTATAAGGCCACAATTTATAATTTATAATTTATAATTTAAATTTTTTATTTAATACATAATTTTAAATTAACAACACTAAAAAAATAATTTATAAATGTTCAAAAGACTATTTTACAATTTTCTAATTGTTTACTAAGTAATAGTGACATGGATAAGCCCATAAAGATTATAGCCCACCATTTAGGGTCCAATACATAACTCAAATACTAAAGCCCAGCATTGCTGAAGGCCCACGTAGCAATAAAAACCAATGACATCAAGACACATGGCAAGAGAAGGGCAAGCCACATAAGTAGACAAAGATCTACAAAGTTATTGCCACTGCACATCGCCATTAATGAAGCCTCTTACAGCATTTATTGCGATAACCCCTCTCCGTCGGGACAGAACGCCTTCACCATGAATAAGGTAAGCTAGAGCATAGACTTTCAGCTAAGGTGACAAGTCGGAAGGGACAACGAAATGATTACCAGAGGATATAAGCAGACGTCGAGGACATGAAGAAGGTTAAGCTTTTCTATCTTTAATCTATCTCTACATTCCACTTCTCTTTCTAACTTGCTCGTCGGAGGGTTCGCTGGAGGACTCCCCGTTCCCCGTTGAACTCTTGTGCAGGTCTTCTGGTGGGTTTTGCTACTTAGACACTGGGTTGAGAAGCGTGGATCAGTCTGACCCGTTCCTTCTGAAACTCGCAATATCATTAGTTGGCGCCGTCTGTGGAAAGCCTTTGCTTCGCGCGCCGATTGTGCTCATTGTCACCGGAGACCCTGTCCCAATAACCCTTTCCTGCCACCCACCAAGGTGTATGGTCATGACTAGATCCATGGCTTCTCACCACAATGTTGCTGACCACCAAGCCGACCCTCCCAATCCAAACAACCCACCACAGTATTTCACCGAGCTCACCAACAACATTAACCGCCTGCCCGAGCAAAATCAAGCCTTGATTAATGCTCTACTCCAAAGAAACCCTCATTTGCCCCCTCCACCACCTCCACATATCCCACCCAACCAAGAACGAGCTCCGAGTCATACTACCTAACAGCCCAATCTACCCAACTTGGAAGACTTGCGAGCCCCCCTCCCGGATATAAACCTGCCACCTCGGGCCCCGCATCCATCGGTCCCGGTACCAACCCCCGAGGGAGAGGCCAGTAGCATCTAGCCCCCATTGCCCTCCGGTGGTGACAACATTCCTCTCTAGGATGCAGAACTCCGAGCCATGAAGCTCCAGCTCCAAGGAGTCATGTAGAACATACAGCATAAACCATCCACCACAGCCAACTCACCATTTGTTGCCTCCATCCGGGACAAACCTCTACCTCTCAAGTTCAAAATGTCCACCATCGACTCTTTCGACGGTACAACGGACGCAGTCGATCACTTAGGAACCTACAGAACCCTCATGATCCTCCATGCATTCCCCGATGAAATCATGTGTCGGGCTTTCCCCGTAACACTCAAGGGGTCGGCTCGGCTTTGGTTAAGTCAACTGCCAACAGACTCTGTCTCCACTTTCCAGCACCTCAGTGACTCTTTCCTCAACCATTTCATTGGAGCCCAGCGCCAGCGACGTCCAGCAACCCAACTCCTCAATATCCGTCAGACCGAGGGGAAGTCGCTGCGCAGTTTTGTTACCCGCTTCAACACCGAAGCCTTGCAGGTAGCGGAAAACAATGACAAGGTCATCCTTACAGCTTTCATAGCCGGTTTGCGGTCATCTGACTTCCTTTTCTCCCTCTCTAAAAACCCCCAAACTTCCATGGCAACCCTACTCTCCAAAACCCAAAAATACATGAACGCCGAAGACTCCCTAGTCGCCCGACAAGATCCTATAGCCAAAAACCCGACCCCCAGAGAAAAGAGAAAGGACTTAGAAACCAGAAACACCCAGTACACTCACCAAAACACCTTAGTATACTGACCGACCACCCCGAGCCGACCGGTCGGCGTCAACCCGATCGCCTGGCCGGTTCGAAAGATACACACTTCTCAACTCTCCCATAGAGCAAGTCTTGAACCAGATTCAGCGAGATTATCCCCTCAAATGGCCCCAACCGTCGCGATCTTCTTCTAACCGGCGAGACAAGTCCAAATACTACCGCTTCCACCAGGACCACGGCCATAACACCGAAGAGTGTGTTAACCTCAAAGACTAGGTCGAGGGCCTGATCCGTTAGGGACATCTCAGTCGGTTCACGAAAGCTCGCCTCCAGCAGAGGCAAATGACTAAATCCATCAGAAACAACCGCTGACGCACCCCTCCACGGCAACCAGCACAACCCAACCAAGGTCATGACCGCCCTCCACAGCAACCCGAGCGCAAGGTAACCCCATCCCACCTGTTGGAGAAATCAGAGTTATTACTGGCGGGCTTGCTTGTGGAGGACCATCCCGCTCGGCCTAGTGGGCAGAACTCAGAAAAATAAGGCAAGGCTCAGACAAAGAAATTGCCACATTGGATCGCCCTTCAAAATAGCCCAAACAGTGGATGGAGCCCATCACCTTCATGGAGGCTGACTGCATAGGCATCCGTTATCCTCATGACGACCCTCTCGTCATCTCTGCCCTCCTCTCCAACTACAAAGTCAGACGGGTTCTCATCGACAATGGTAGTTCTTTCGACATCATCTTCCTAAATGCCTTTCGCCAGTTCAAGATCGGGAAAGAAAGTCTATCTCCTCTCCAAACCCCATTGGTCGGTTTCACTGGAGACCGGGTGACCTCTATCGGCTCCATCAAATCTTCCCATCGAATACTCGCGGCAGACCACAAAGTTACTCACATTCCTTATTGTCGACTGCCCCTCTGCTTACAACATCATCCTTGGTCGCACCGCTCTAAATGCCTTCCAAGCTATCACATCCACTTTCCATCTTGCCATCAAGTTCCCTACCGATCTTGGGGTAGGCACAGTGAGGGGAGAGTAGACCGTGGCTAGAGAATGTTATGTCGCCTCACTTAAAGAAGTCAAGCTCAAGGAGGCTATGATCATTGAAGGACTCGACGTCAGAGACGAGGACGAGCTGGTCAGAGGGGAACCAGTGGAAGTGCTCGTCGAGGTCCTCATCGATCCCACTAACCCGGCAAAAACTGCCAAGGTCGGTAGCCAACTATCCTCCCAGGCCAAGGCTGACCTCACTGCCCTCCTGATTGAGCACAACGACGTATTTGCCTGGACCTACTTCGACATGCCAGGTATTGACCCCTCCTTCATCATCCACTGTCTTAGCATTGAGCCTCATTTCCGACCCATCCACCAGAAGCAGCTCATCTTTCACCATGAGCGTAATAACCTAATTGCTTCTGAAGTAGATAAGCTCCTTGAGGCACAGTTTATCACAAATGTGGACTACCCCAGGTGGCTGTCGAATGTGGTTCTGGTTCGTAAAAACATTAGTAAATGGCGACTCTGTGTAGACTACTCTGATCTCAACCGAGCTTGCCCCAAAGACAACTATCCTCTTCCTCGCATATACCTGCTGGTTGACGCCATGGCCGGTTATCAAATGCTCAGTTTCATGGATGCCTTCTCTGATACAACTAAATGCTGATACACCCGTCTGACCAGGAATACACCTCCTTCATCACTGACCGGGGAACCTACCATTACCGTGTGATGCCATTTGGGTTGAAAAATTTCGGAGCCACTTACCAACGGTTGGTTAATGCTGTCTTTCATCACCAGATAGGCCGGAATATGGAAATATATGTCGATGACATGCTAGTCAAGAGAAAGCTCTCCACTGATCATCTGGCCGACCTACGAGAGACCTTCACCACCCTACGAAAGCATCAAATGAAGCTCATTCCGAAGAAATGTGCATTCGGTGTAGGATCTGGGAAGTTCTTGGGTTTCATGGTCAGTCAGCGGGGCATCGAAGCTAACCTCGAAAAGATCAAGGCCTTAATTGAAATGCAGTCACCCATAACGGTTAAAGAGGTTCAGAGGCTTACTGGCCGAGTTGTCACCCTCAATTGCTTCATTTCCCGCGCAATGGACAAGTGCCTCCCATTCTTCAAAGTTCTTCGGCAAACTTTTGAGCGGACGGCAGAATTCGAAAAGGCCTTTCAGCAATTGAAACAATGTATGGCCACCCCCCTCTACTTTCTCAGGTAATCACGGGAGAACCCCTCTTTCTCTATTTAGCCGTGTCAAACACCGCAGTCAGTGCAGCACTCATCAGGGAAGACAGCTCTGTCCAACGACCGGTCTACCACATCAATCGGGCTCTCAGAGGCGCGGAACAAAATTACCCATTGTTAGAAAAAATGTCCTTGGCTTTGGTCACCGCCTCCAGACGACTCCGACCTTACTTCCAAGTCCATTCCATAGTGGTCCTCACTGACTAACCATTGAAGAAGATAATGCAACAACCAAAGCTTTCCGGCAGACTTATGCAATGGTCGATCGAGCTCAGCCAATTTGACATCTCTTACCGGCCTCAAACGGAGATTAAAGGGCAGGTTGTTGTCGATTTCATCTTGGAATTCACTAATCCCACTTCAACCACAGCTCTTCTACTCTCGCCACCCCCTACCGAGCCAGAAGACCCCCACTCTTGGACCCTCAACGTCGACGGATCATCTCGCAAAAAAGGCAGTGGGGCTGGTCTCATCCTCACTACCCTTAAGGGTGGTTATTTCAAATGTGCTCTCCGCTTCTTGTTCGACGCAAGCAATAATGGGGCTGAATATGAAGCATTGATCGCAGGTCTTCGCCTCGCCAGAGACATTGGTGTCAGCCACATCCAAGTGTTCAGTGATTCCCAGCTCATTGTCGGACAAATCACGGGAGAATTCGATGCCAAGGAAGACACAATGCGGGCTTATAGGGATATTGCACTCCCTCTCGCTCATCTCTTCAATAATTTCCACATCAAGCACATCCCTTGGACGAAAAACTCGAAAGCAGATGAAATGGCTCAGTTAGCTTCGGTAGACCAGTCAGACCTCAGCCACAGTGTCCGCCTCGAGTACCTCGCCCACCCTGCCATTTCCCTGACTCAGCAGCAAGTCTACTTCCTCCAAAATGAACCTATTCCATGGGCGGCCGACATCTTTCTATTTTTGACAATGGGGGATCTGCCAGCTGACAAACAGCAGGCTGCCAAAGTCAGGGGCCGATCGTCCAACTACATTCTTGTTAGCGGCCTCTTGTACAAACGCTGTTTTTCACGCCCATACCTACAATGCCTCAATCCTGCTCAAGCAACCTACATGATGAGGGAAGTCCATAAGGGTATCGGTGCTAATCATTCGGGCGCCCAGGCCCTAGCCCACAAAATACTTCGTATTGGTTATTTCTGGCCTACTCTCAATCAAGATGCGACAGACTTCGTGCTCAAATGTGATAAGTGCCAGCGTTTTGCCAACATCTCCCATGCTCCTCCTACAGAATTGATCACACTTCGCAGTCCCTACCCATTTGCCAAATGAGGGATCGACCTAGTTGGCCCATTGCCCACTGGCCGAGGCCAAACCAAATTCGCCATTATCACCATTGATTACTTCACTAAATGGGTGGAGGCAGAACCCCTTGGCACAATTACCGAGCGGAACACAATCAGATTCATCTGGCAGTCGATCGTATGCAGATTTGGCATCCCTCAAGCCATCGTCTCCGACAACGGCAAACAATTCGACAATGCCAAGTTCAGGAAATTCTGTGCAGAACTTCAAATCCAGCCATGTTTCTCTTCCCCAGGTCATACCCAAGCCAATGGCTAAGTTGAGGTTACCAACTGTTCTTTTCTAAAGATCATCAAAACTAAGCTGGAAGCTGCTAAGGGACTCTAGGCTGAGGAATTATTCAATGTACTCTAGGCCTACTGCACTACCACTCGAACCCCCACTGGGGAGACCCCTTTTCACTTAACATACGGCGCTGAGGCAGTCATCCCAGTGGAAATCGGTCTACCTACCCCAAGAATTCTACATCCGAATCCAGAACTAACTGAGGAGCTGCGTCGGGCAGACCTAGACCTAATCGAAGAGCTCTGAGAAACCACTGCTGTCAGATGGGCCTCATACCAACAGAAAATGAGAACACATTACAACCGCAAAGTCCGACCGAGGGAGTTCACCGTGGAGAACCTTATTTTGCGCGAAGTAACCCTTGCCACCAAAAATCCGACTGAGGGCAAACTGGCAGCCAAGTGGGAAGAACCTTAGGTTGTTAAAGCCAGACCTCGTCCGGGCACTTACCGACTTCAGGACTTGGAAGGTCGATACCTCCCCCATCCGTGGAACGCCGAACACTTGAAGCGTTATTTTCAATAAATCCCTATTTTTGTATTGATCAGTTATTGTATTTTGTTTTTTGGCAATCTACACACTTGAATGTTCTTATTCTTTTCTCACATGATGTAAATTTCTGATCAAATGGACTACACTTTACACGACAACAATCTTATATCTCAATTATCTGTGTGGTACCTCAATAACGTCTTGATTGCAGCACTCAGTTACAAGCCTCAACCAGACTGAGCATGAAGAGCTCAGCTAGACTGAGTCACTTAAAGCCTTAGCCAGACTGAGCACGAAGAGCTCAGCCAAACTGAGTCGCTTAAAGTCTCAGCACGAAGAGCTCAGCCAGACTGAGTCATTTAAAGCCTCAGCAAGCCTCATCCAGACTGAGCATGAAGACTTTAGCCATACTGAGTCACTTAAAGCCTCAGCCAGACTGAGCACGAAGAGCTCAGCCAAACTGAGTCACTTAAAGCCTCAGCAAGCCTCAGCCAGACAGAGTATGAAGAGCTCAGCCAGACTGAGTCACTTAAAGCCTCAGCCAGACTGAGCACGAAAAGCTCTGCTAGACTGAGTCACTTAAAGCCACAGCCAGCCTCAGCCAGACTGAGCAGGAAGAGCTCAGCCAGACTGAATCACTTGAAGCTTTAGCCAGACTGAGCACGAAGAGCTCAGCCAAACTAAGTCACTTAAAGCCTCAGCCAAACTGAGCATGAAGTGCTCAGCCAGATTGAGTCTCTTAAAGCCTCAGCCAGACTGAGCGTGAAAAGCCTCAACCAGACTGAGTTACTTGAAGAGGCAACCCGACCGAGTTAATCATGGCTCAACCCGAACTGAGCACGAATGAAGAGCTCGGCCAAGGCCATTCTTGCAACTTCATGATTGTGGCATAGTTGCCATACTTAGTCAAATTCTAGGTTCATGTTTTTACGCCTCTTAACACTCTTTACATTTTTTAACTCTTATTTCCCAACCCAACCTTTCATTTGTCAACCCCCTTACAACGTGATTTAAAACTTCACTTTTTGGAACCCTTACAAGCTAGACTGACTCCCTATTAGTTCGTGATTTGAAACTTCACATTTTTTGACATTCTCACATTTTAAACTCCACTCTGCATTATGGTTTTCTTACAAGTCAGACCGTTTCCCTGCTTCTCAATTTTCACTGCAATTTATATAGAAACCTTATTTGAATAACCATTCTTATTCTTCTCAAATTTGCAAAAATAAAGGCCACAGTGTGACAAACACAACTCAGAATTTTATTTATTCACAAACTTATATATAAGTTTACTGCAGAAATTACACTCTCAACAAAAAAAAAAAAAAAAAAAAAAAAAAAAAAAAAAAAAACAACAACAACAACAACAACAACACTCAAAACAACAAGAAAAATTCCATTTCTAAGCAAAGTGCCAAAATTTTACATTTCATCAATCTTCCTCGCTCAAAGCAAGGTCTTCTTCGTTCACACCTTCGTCTAAGGGGGTCTGGGCCACGTCGTCTTCCTCTATTCTAACAGTGTTGAAGTCCAAGTCTGGGAACAGCTCTTCTGCTTTACGTTTGAACATCTTCCAGCCGCTGTCCCAGAACTCGGCCATCGCATGTTTGTAGAAGTTTGACTGCTGGAAGCTCTGGATCACTTCTTCTTCACTCCTGCTCTAAGCGGTCGCTCCGGACGGGCCCAGACCCCTCTCTTGCCAAGTTGCGGCCGATCGCGGCATCGATAGCCATCTGCAGTCAGCAGACCCCTTGAACTGCTCTACTGCTGCGACGCATAAGTCGGGGTATGCTGCCCTCTCAGAGGCTGACTTGGTCTTTTCTTCCTCCAGCTTCTTCTCCAGCCCCGCCTTCTCTGTCGCTGCCTTGGCGCACTTATCTTCCAGATCCCGCTCCAACTCAGCGATCTTCAGGTCTGCTTCTTCGTTTTCTTTGACCTACTAAGCGCGCAGATCTTCATTGCTGGTCATGGCCTCTTCAAACCGATCGTTGGCGACAGTGCTGGCTGTTTAGGCATTTTCCAGTTTCTTCTG